CAAAAAAATTGCAAATTTTTTTTGCAGGAAACTTTCCTGCGAATTTTTTTCGCAAGAAATTTCGCAGGAAAATTTCCTACGAATTTTAAAATTCGCAAAAAAATATTATCCACGAAGGTATTACCTGCAGATAAAATTTCGCAGGAAAATTTGTAAGAACAACATTTCCTGCGAATTTTTATAAAAAATTCGTAGGAAAAGTCGCATGTAATAAGAGAAATTCTAGTAGTGAATAAACTATAATATTATTTGTTGATTACATGCATAGTTAGAATAGTTATCTCCATATATTAGCATATTAATTATATTTAAGGTATTTATCTCCTAATATTTATACATTAAAATAAATCTTTGATTTATTATTTCTATCAATTCATTATTATAATATAAATTAAACAATTAAATTCATTAATTTATTAATAAATTTTAAAAATAAATTACTATCAAGAGGTTTATAATATTATAGATAAAAATGTAAATATAATCTATGCACAAAACAATAGAAGGATCGAATTATAGCTTATAATAAAGTTTGTTTTACAAAATAATATACAATATTAATTAATCATCATTACTATCATCTTTCTTAGTACTTTCTTTGTCTTCTATTAAATCAATATTCTCGTTGTCATTTTCTTCATCAATACTGTCAACAACTTTAGGTACTACCAGTTTTTTATTAGTTGTGGATTAAACTAAGTTCTTATTCAATGAAAATCCTTGTTCATTATCTTGGGCATTAGATATAAAGGGAATCAAGTCAATATCATCATTTTCTTAACAAGCCTTATTTATGGCTTCCTCAGGCATTTCATACAAATCTTGAGGCTTTGTTTTCATAACAACTAGTTGTAATAGTTCGGACATACTGAAATGAAAGGGATCTAGAGATTTGTACAAGTGTGAGATTGTAAAGTTGAGGATGACTTAAATGAATTAATTAGTACTATCTATACAACAAGATGCATCTGTTTTTCAATAGCTCATCACTTAAGAATACCACAATTAAGCGTGTTTGGCTTGGAATAATTTAAGGACAGACAAACTTTTGGGAGGCTTCCCAAAAAGTATGTGAGTGAGTATAAAACACATTGAAAAGTCTTGTATTTGTTCGTGAGGTCAGTTATTGATCCTAAAGGCATACGAATATCTAAAAAATGGCTACTTATGAAGGATTTTAACTAGTGAAGGGTTTTAACCAATGAGAAGTTGATTGAAGTATCATTGTGTGAGGTGTTGTAGAGTGCATCCGCTAAAATACTAAATCTGAAGGGTGTTACAAATGGTATCAGAGCATGTTTTTTCTCCTTGTACGATGTTGCTTGAGGGAAAACTAAGCAAAAGCTAGTGAGCTTATAACAACTTGGACACACTAGAATGAGAGGGATCCAAAGATTTATACATGTGTGAGATTGTATTGTTAAGAATGACTTAAAGGAATTAGTTAGTGATATCTATACCAACAAGATGCATTTATTTTTTAGTACGTAGCTTATCTCTTAAGAATTTCACAGTTAAATGTGATTGGCTTGGAGCAATTTAAGGATGAATGACTTTCTATGAAGCTTCCTAGAAGGTGCATGAGTAAGGACAAAGCACACTAAAAGGTCTTATTTTAGTTTGTTAGGTCAATAGTTAATCTTAAAGGCGGACGAATGATAGAGGATCTTGATTAGTGAATGGTTCTGACCAATGAGGAATCGAGTGAAGTATCATCGTGTGAGGTATCATGGAGCGCAACCGCTAAGACACTAAATCTAAAGGGTGTTACAAGTTGTATCAAAGTAGATCATTTTTCCTTGTATGGTGTGATTCGAGGACGAACCAAGTGATAGTTGCTGAGCTTGTAATAGCCTAGACACACTAAAATAAGAGGGATCCAAAGATTTGTACATGTATGAGATTGTATTGTTTGTAAATTACTTAAAGGAATTAATTAGTATTACTTATACTAACAAGATGCATTTGCTTTTAGATAGCTCATTGCTTAAGAATTTCACAATTAAGTGTGTTTGGTTTGAAACACTTTAAGAATGGGTGATCTTCTAAGAAATTTCCTAGAAAGTGAGTGAGGACAAAACATGTTGAAAAATCTTATGTTGGTTTATGAGGTCAGTCATTGATCTGAAATGTGGACGAACATCTTAGAAAGGACTACTCATAGAGAGTTCTGATGATGAAGGGTTATGACTAGCAAGGAGTTGAATAAAGTATCATCATGAAAGTGTCATGTAGTGCAACCGTTGAGATGCCATATCTAAATGGTGTTACATTAACCAATTAGAATCTTTGGTATCTTTAACATAATACATCTGTTGAACTTGAGTGGCTAAGACATATCACTCATTAGTCCTCAATTTATGGCTATTATTAATAAGAATAAAGTCATATTTGTCTTCCTTGTTGTAACATCCTATTTTTCTTATTAAAAATATTTGTTTTATTATTAATCATTATATTTTGTTATAATTAAATATATTGGTTTTAATAATTATTTGTAATTATTTTTATATGGATATAGGGAGTGAAAAATCTCGCTTTGGCTATGAGATTGTATGTTGGGTAATGAGATTGACTCTTAATCTTGTCTCTGTTATATGTCTATGTATGATAGATTTTTCCTAAATGAGTCTTTATATTCTCTGTTTTTCTTTGTATGTTCGAATTGATGTAAATTGTGTGTATGTGTTGATAATTTCTAAGTTTGACTTGTAATTGTATGTTTTGGTATTCATATGGGTTCTCATTAAAAACCTTAAGGTAGTGTTTGTTTCTACTGATTTACTGTTTACGACGAATGAAAGGCGAGGAAATTTTACGTTTGTTTCTACTGATTTATGAGAAAAGAAAGGCGAAGAAAAGAAGGAGAAGAGACGTTGAACATCTTCGCATTTTTGCAAAGAAAAGAGATGAAAGCCACGTAAAATTTAAGAAAATTCCATAATACCCCTGCCTCATATATACAAAAACTTTATCATGTAACAAAAAAACGACGCATAATCAATTATGTTGTATATATGTATACAGGATAATCGATTATGCTATATACATATATACAACATAATCGATTATACTGTATATATATATACAGCATAATCGATTATGCTATATATATGTATACAACATAATCGATTATGCTGTATATATGTATACAGCATAATCGATTATGCTGTATACATATATACAGGATAATCGATTATGCTGTATA